CAGGATGCATGGAGACCCATCTACAGAGGGATGCAACATAATCCTAATGAAGTTTCAGTTCCTTGTCAGGCATTGCAGATTTTATAATAAAAGTACTAGGGTTGCTCTCAGTGAGTTACAAGATGTGCTGAGTGACTGGGAGCTCATTGTTGAACTTGGATGGTTTTGGGTGTTTGAGGAGGGAATGACTCCCCACACGTACAGCGTCCTTGTGTCCTCTGACAACTTGATGTGTTCACACTTGAGTAGCCCCATTACAACACAACTATTTCTCTGAGAGGTATGGGTAAGATGATATTTTATTAAAGGAAAGTCTTAGGGTCACCAGTGAAACCTCTGAAAGACTTCTGGTGTTCTGGGGAGAAAACACAACATCCTTCCCATAAGATAAAGCTAACAGAACAAGCTCCCTCATCTGACACATATAAAGGAAAACCATACCATATTTTAGTAAGTCACATCAGATGTACTCTCCCAAGTTAATGATTACTCCTATTTTATACGATATATCTTTTCTAACCCAGAGAAAGTGTAGCCTGGCCAAAAATAGCCTAAAGGCAGACCTGAAGGTGGTCTGGGGGGGCAGAAGGAGAGGAGCTTAACACCAGGAAGGGAGGAAAATGTATTTTAACATTGCTGGCACAAGAACAAACGATACTAAACTGGCTGTGAACACATTTATGCTGGCAACAAGAATGGGGTGTGGCAAACCTCCCAGCAGCGAGGTTTTCCAACGGCCTTCTGAGCAGCATAGAGGGCAAAAATCAGACATCCTCCCTTTCCTGCCTTTTACTTGGTGTTAAGATTGACGAACTTTTGAACAAGTGGCAGGGTGGGTGGTTGCTGACCACAGGAGCGCCCACCTTCCTGCGGGTGACACCAGGCTCATGAGCTTAGGGAAAGTTGACATAAAACCTGTGAAGAGTGCAGGTACCACGGCTGCAGGATTGCATGAGCTGTGGGTCACTTTGCATGAAGGAAAATCCAATGGTTTGTACGTGCTGGTTTAATTCCTCCCGTGCTGCTGCGGGTTGACATTGGCATCGTGGTGGGGAGGCATAAATGAAGGAGCACTCTCCTGTAGTGTAGCTTTGTTGGGAAAAAAAAATCTGAAATGTAACAATAAGCTTTTTTATAGCTTTTTATAGTTTTATGGGCAAGTAAAAGAATTAATCCAGATGGCACCCGATCTGTTTATTAGCATGTATAGGCAGAGAGTGCTTATAATACCAAACTGTATCTTTTTTATTGAACAGCTCTAGAAAGCCATTCTTCTGATGGATCACAGTTCTTTTCAGGGAGGAAGAGGGTTTCAATTATCCTCTGATGCACACAAAAAAATAATACTAGCAAATAAACTGTCCAAAAATAAAACCAGGTAAGCCTCTTCCAACAAGGGTAGAAAAAAATCTGATTATTCTCACTAAACTATTCCCT